TTTTTGCGTGCCCACATTGTATCTGAAAGTCAACAGGTGTTCCTTCTAAAAACAATTTTGCAGACTGCGTAGCCTCTTTATGCACATTTGAAGAAGCATGAGATTTGCAGTACATGTACATGTACATTTTTAAATTTTGTGAAAGGGCGCACAACAAATGAAGAAACAATTCCTGGTTTGTTTGGTGGCTTAAACAGCACGCAGTGTAAACAAAAAGCTCCTTTAAGCCTGCGGGAATACACCAACCACGGTGTATACATGTCCAACCAGACTCTATTGAACTTGCGTTTCAAATGTGTCGCATCATTTGAAAATTTGTAATTTTCTGTTAACAGCGTCCTTCTCTGTACAGCAGACATAGCGCTAGCAGTGTTGCAAAACAAAATGTTTAGCACACTTTCAAGTGTTCATGCCAAAAAGCTTACACAACGTTTACACTAACGTAATTAGTAATGATTTCAAATACTTTCTTGCATAGGGTTTAAATCTCAAATTCTCCAGCGTAATCATCGAAACCTCTTTAAAAAAAAAAAACAAAAACACAAAATGTAAAATTCTAACTGGTAGATATTGAACAAAACTTGAAGACGATGTTTATATTTAAATAAAGTGAAATTAACCAAAATTCAATTATGTGGCTTATGAAAGTTTGACTGTATACATATATTTTAAAGTTTTAGAAAGCGGATGCATTCAATTTGAGAATCAATTTCATTATCCACATGTCGTCTTCAAGAAAACAATGTAACTAACTGGCTTCTGAAGACCATTTTCCATTTTTAATTCCAATGTAGGTTAACATTTTAGTATGCAGAAGCTTAGAATTTTTTTATTTTCACAAAATTGAAACTCAATTGAAAGGGAAAAATTGAAACAAGTTGTCCATTCAAGTCATAAATAAGAGTGTGTTAGTGAAAAAGTGTGAGTGTATTGAAAATTGAAAGGGGAAAATTGAATGTGTAACGTCCCGGTAAAATAAATAACTATAAGTGCCCTTAGGGTTCATGTTCAGGGATGGTATTTTAAGGGACTGTAGTCGAAAGTTCATGCCTCAATTTAAACCTATCTCTCTATCTTCTTTTCTTTAATTGTAGTGGGTACTCAAACTTCGCACAAAATCAGGTTTTGCTGTTCAAGAAATGACTATAAGTAAATATCAAGTCAATGTGCAGGGAAGGTATTTTCAGGGATAGCAATCGAAACTTCTAGCTTTAATTTATGCCTAATATCGCCTTTTGTTTCTTTGCTAAAGCTTCTAAAATATTGCAAAAAACACGATTTTTTTAAACTTTGACCACGTTTTTCTCAAAATCTGGAGCTGATGGAAACTTTATACTCACGGTTTCGTAATCAGCACAGAAAAGTCAATCAAAAACAGCTTTAACAGTTGGCGCAACAAATTTTTCCCCCCCCATTTTTGTTGCCTTGTGTAATCTATAACTTCCAATAAAGTTAAACAACTTTGGCGTAAATGTTGAAAATTTTTATTTAACTATGTATACAACGAACTATTTAACATCATAAGCAGAAGACATAATTAGCAGAAAAACTCTGATACAAGTAACTAGTAAC